ACAGCCCGGCGTCCGCGGCCCTGCCGTCCCCGGGGCATCGCGCGCATCGTGTCCCGGGGGCCGCGCCGGGCCCGCCCGGGGGCGCGGGGCCGGGCAGGGCGGGCACAGCCAAGCACACGGAGCTCAGGGGGATGCCCCGCCGTGCGGCTCCGGCAGGAAGAGGGGCAGTTCCCCGTCAACCCCCGGGGTCGCCGAGCATCCCCTCCGCAGCATCCCCCGTGGTGCTGCGGGGATGGGGACATGCCATGCCCGGCCTTCCCTGCGGCTCAGCGGTGTCACAGCTGTGTCTGAGGTGTTGGTGTGGTCACAGAGAGGGCGATGGGGACATCCACAGCCACCGGTGTCACATTTTCCTTAGCGCTTAGGGAGGTTTGGTAGGTTCAGCCTCACCCCGTGGTTTGGCTCTCGGCGACAGTTCTGTCGCTTGAAGGATCAAATCCCAAACATCTGCTGTTCAAAACTGTTTTTCCGTTCAGCCTTTTTGTGCTGGTATAAAATGTTCCATACCTGAAGGACTGTCCTTACATACAGGTGTTAACAAAGCAGTGCCTTGTTGCCCATCACACAACATTCCAGGTGCTGTATGTGGGTGGTGGTGCTGAAATGAAGCCCAAGGACAGCTCAGTGCCCCCTGTGTTCCCCAGGATGTGCTGGAATGGCATTTAGGCAGCTCTGATCTAACACAGAAAGACAGGAGCGAGCCTGGCCTTGGAGCTTTGTTAGCTTTTATTTCCCTCCCTTGGAATCTGTGTCAGGAAGAGTGGTAAACCCTGAACCAGTAATTTCATGAAGCTCCTTTGGACTTGTCAGTGTTGTTATTCTAAATATCAGCGTTTCCCTATGTGTGCATGTCCTATCCCATCCACAGCAATGCGTGGAAACATCTGTTAGTTACCAACAACACACAGAATGCTGTTGATATTTTTATTCCTTGCTGAGGAAATGATGTTATTAATGGGTGGGTATTTACGTTTCTGCTAATTACTTCAGTTTTCCAAAATTTTAGGGGATTTTGGAGTTGTCATCCAAACAGTCTGCCCAGCTGGTCAGGCTAGCGAGTGCACTGTCATTTTCTTGGGAGGAAGGGGTTCACAGCAGGTATATTTATTCTTTCTGTTGCTGTTTGTTTGAAAGCCTGTTGGAATTCCTGGAGCAGAGCCCAGGAGAGGCACAAACAGATAACCGTGAGGCTGTCAAGGTCCTGAGGGTCATCCCCTGCAGCAAGTCTGTCACTCTAACAGCCACAGGAGGTATCCCTGTTGTTTTGGAGATGGATTGGGTCAGTGTGTTGGGAACCTGTGCCCAGCCTAATAAGTAAAAAAGGCGACTTCCAACAGAGCAGCAAAATCAGTACATAACTTCATAATGGGTTTTTTTTTTCCCCTTTTGAGTCAGTTGAAAGCATTTCCTCTTATTCCTGTTTATTTTTCCTGGAAGGTTACAAGAAGAGATCCTACAGCTGACTGATTACTGATTTCGGGAGAGGGGTGGAGGTTAAAAATGTCAAAAATCACTACAGAACTTCTTTTGGAAAGAGCAGTTCCAAGATCTACGAGGCTCCGGAAGATCGAGACGCTGAAGTAAGTGCAGGCAGGCCCATGGAAAATTCCAGCTGAATTCAACTTGGGCGATACTTTTTTTTTTTTCTTTGCCTTTTTTTTTTTTTCCCCTAACATTTTTACAAAAAAAAAAAAGAGAGGCAGTTCCAGAGCACAGAACTGAGATGGCATTCCCAGTGCAGGATCAGAGAGCACTGGTGGCACTGTATCCAGGTTATGGACAGTTATCACCTTTTTTTGCCTTTTTTACTGTATTTTTGGTGCCACCTTCTTGCTGTGAAACTGAATCCTGATTTCCTAACCCCCAGATATCATCCCTACCCCCAGAGCACTTCCATCTTTAATAGCAATTGCTTAATGTGAACAAGAGAATCTTCTGGCCTGGATTATAGAGGGGTTTTAAAGTATTTTTGGCGTTACTTCCCTTCCATTTTCCTCTCCATCACTTTCTGTCTCCTCTAAATCCAATTATGTTAGTACCTCAAACACTGCAGAGAGGGAGAATAAACTCTGAAACACTTAGAAACCACTAAAAACAGTTTTGTTGCTCAGATCCTTAACAGAGGTCATTGCAAATATGTGTCTTTCCAAATGTTTAATGTAGTGGAATTTCAGTGTTCCAGAGCTGGTCAATCTGAGTGACTCAGCTGGCCAGTTTCTGGCTGGTGCCTTTGTTGTTTTTGTTCCTGATATAGAGGGTTTGAGTTTCACGTGTACTTTTTAAAGTTATTTCTTTTGGTTTGTCTTGTGCTAAAATAATTATTTTTAGGGAGAAACTCAGAGGTTTATCTGAGGAGTATCAGCTGCAGTAATCTGGGTAACAGAGTGATGGGGAGGTGCTTGAAGCAGTGGATTTCTGGAATGTGGCTTTTCCCATGGTGCTGATTATATGTCAGAAAGTTTGGGGAACAGTGTTGGGTTTCTCCCCAAAATGACACCACAGTCAGACTGTGATTGCAGGCAGCTGAATTCTCAGCCTTTCTGACTGGCTGGTAAGGCCTCTGAGATGGCAAGTGAAGGAGAAGGGACCTTGCTTCCTGGGTTTATTTGCCTCATTTATTCACACTTCATTTATATCAAGAAGCCTTTTTTTTACTGATCATTAGAGACAGGATTTCTGTTTGTTAAAGGAACTCAGGCTTGTGCCCTCAGGAGATGTTGGCTGCCAGGACTAGAAGCTCCCTTTGGAGCTCACCTAAATGATCTAACCAAATATAAATGACCCTGCTTATAATATCCAGTTTTCAGTTTCTTACAGAAAAGGGGTATTTCTTTTTCCCTCACAAATATTATACCTCTTCCTCTTTCAGCACAATACTTCTGTTTTGGTGGCAGCTTTGGGGTCTTGTTGGGTAGATTCCCTTATTTGCCTTTGGAAGTTTTTGCAGCAAAATTCACTATAGAAGAAATGGAAAAATCACTTTTTTGGTCAAGTTAGTTCTTTGAAAACAGGCAGATTATTTGGGGGCCTGCTCTGCACTTGCCTGAAGTGTGAAATAATAAATCCAGTGCATTCTATGGACAGGATAGACTGATGGTGTAGTGAATAAGTGTCATGTATTGCTGCAGCTTGTTTTGTTGAATCACCATTGCAAAGGAATAAAATACCAAAACTCTTACAGGTTCTTTCTACAAAATAAGAATGTTTCTGGTGATTCACTGCTCCCAGCCAGCTCTGTTACCCATAGGGGATTATCTGAATTGCAGGTTAATTATGCTGCAGGAACTTTGGCAGACCTGAGCCTCTGATGGTGTCTGTTAGCTCAGACACATCATCTTTCCTACATGTATGTGCTCAGAGTCCAGAATGCAGCAGACAGGAAAAAGCAGGGACCTTGTATCCTGTGAAATCAGCCCTTGGTTTTCCAGTGAGATGCAGGTAGTTCATGTTATCTTTTGTTTTCAGCCTGTCCAAGCTGCAGTTGAAGACTGGAGATTTAGACCCACGGTTGTTTTCCCGGCTGAGGCACCTGCAGAAACTAGATCTCTCTGATAATTTGCTGGACAAGTTTCCCAACAGCCTAACCCTGCCTGATCTGCGTGTCCTGAACTGCAACAATAACCAGCTGGAAGATGTAACTGCTCTGAAACAGTTCCCTCTGCTCGAGGAGCTGACCTACGAGAACAATGTGTACTTGACAGTGAGTTACCCCCCATCCTTACAAGCTCAGCATTAAACAGAGGGGCAAACAAACAGCAGTTATGCAGAGTTCTTATATGTTGTTCTTGGGCAGCAAGTGTAAGGGCATCTGAGAAAACAGCCAGTCTTTGTGTGCCCCTCCACCACTTTGTGCCACTCTTTACCAGTCTGCAGACATCAGTTGCCCCAAACCACTCAGATATTCGTGTCTGCGTGTCTTGAACTCCTGTTTCTCCAAGTCAGACACCAATCTTAGTCAGTTTATTAGGCAGGGTATCTTATGATCATGCTTGTGTTAAGTTGAGTAATAACTGTGTAGAAATGTCCTTGTAGAATCATGGAATCCCAGAATGGTTTGGGTTGGAAGGGACCTTAAGGATCATCTTGTTCCAGCCCCTTTCATCAAGCAGGGACACCTTCCACTATCCCAGGTTGCTCCAAGCAACTGCTAAACTGGCCTTGGATACTTCCAGGGATGGGGCAGCCACAGCTTCTCTGAGCAACCTGTGCCAGGGCATCACCACCCTCACAGTAAAGAGTTTTTTCTTAGTATCTAATGTTTAGTTAGTTTTAGTGCCCCTTGTGCTCTGGAAGAGCAGACTTGGTCCTCTGATGAAGGTTTAAACTTGGTAATTAGTTCTAGTTTAGGTTTCTGACTTCTCCCAAGAGGCTCTGCTGCCTGTACAGGTTAAACATCCAAAACTGGAATTTTACTTGTGCTTTAGAGTGGCATCAGCCCCTGTCACCATCCACAGAGGCTTATTTGCTATTGTATGCTGGCAGTGTGGCTGCATGGTGAACTGTCTGACCTAAAACACACCTGGCCAAAGAATTCCTGCTGGAATTCATTTACTGGAGGCAGGACAGGCCTTCCTCTGTTTTAAAGGAAGGGAGTAGAACAGCCTGCCTTGCACTCAGGCTGAGCAGATGAGTGGTTACACAGCCCCCACCTTGTGTTGGATGCTAGTACTGCCTGAGGGTTGGGCAGCTCTTTTGTCTGCAATTTGAGATCCCAACTCACAGGAGAACATGGATTCAGAATTGAAAGGTGAAGTTCAAGCTGGAAACGCTGAAGAGATTTTAAGAAACGGCTTTTCCTTACTAGATATGTTCTTCTTATCATTGGCTGTATTTTCATCAGGGACTAAAGCTAAAGCAAGAACCATGTGTACAGTTTTTGTAACTCTGGTGTATTCTCTCTTTAGCTCAATGATGACTATAAAGTAATGTTTCTTTTGGAAAATCTTCGGCTGCTCAATGGCAAGGACATAACCAAACTGGCCAATCACGTGAGGCATGTCCATAGCCGTAAGCTCACCAGCAAGGTGAGATGTCTGATATTTCCTTAATCTCTAAACACCTGAGAAGTAACTAAATATTGTTCTCAGTGTCATGACAGAGCTGCAAATAAGCATCAAATGATTTGCAATAACTGTGGTTATGATCTGAGCCCAGCCCGCAGTTCGGGCCACCCAAGAAATGTCTTACTGCTGCTTTCTCTGGTCCCTGCTTGCATTTGCTCTGCCTGTTCTGTGCAGCCACCTTTGCCTGTGGTTTAAGTGACAAGAGCAGGGCCAACCAGGTCTGTGTCTGACCCTCTAGTTTTTCAGGTCCCTCTGATCATCATTCAGGAACAGGAGAAGCCTGGTGCTGACAGAACAGCTGCATACACCTCCCTGTCTAATTTATGTTACTGTCCAGGCCCCAGGAATGGGGAGCACAAAACCAAGCTCAGGATAATCTTGCTTTTTCCAGCATACAGCAGTAACAAGAATTTGTTCGTTCTTCTTCAGCTGTGCATGTTTGGAACTGTGTTTTCACTCATTTGTGTACACAGCTTAGCTCCTGACAGACTGTCCCCCCAAAGCATGTTGTGATCTGGAGCAGAATTACTGTTCTATTATGAAAAAGGTTTGGTTGGTTGGTTGTTTTTGTGCATTATTGCTCCTACCACTAGTAGTCTAGTTAGTTGATCTTGTTAATTCCTTCTGTGTATCAGTGGGGGGGAGATCAAATACTGAAGACTGGGATGTCTTATTGTGCTGACTGTTGTCTGTGAAATACCCGTGTACCTATCAGGTACCTCACCTCCCTGTTAGGAAGGCACAGTGTAAGACTCCTTAAGGCCATTTACTCTGGATCCAGAGGCATGAAATCAGGCATTGCTCTGGGTCCAATGCTGGCAGAGTCTGCTTAGCCACACTCACATGAGCTTGGTTCAGAGGAACTGGTTTTTCTGTAAGATGAAGTCATGTTTGAACACTGATTAAAAAAATGGAAGTGGTGCCATCACGTAGCTACCTCAGGGTTGGCAACTTCTTAAATGCTTTCACAGGTACTCTTGTGCTTTTCTGCTCTGTTTTTTTCTATTGAGTAGACTCAGTCTTTCTGCCTAGGTTACTGCTCACTGGGAAAAATTCTTCCGTGACCAACTTCCTGAGAAGTACACAGCTGAGCAGGTGAAGTCCATCAGGAAGAAGTTCCTGAAGTCAGTACAAACCAATGTAGTGTATGGACCCAGCTCCCTCAGTGAATTCACCCGCTGGCGGGTAGGTTGTGTCCCACTTCTGTTCTTCAGGCAAGGAAGAGTGGATTTGATTAAAATGCTCCATGGATTTGGGTGCAAGGCTCCTGCAGACAGGTGATATCACTTCTTGTGGTTTTCTTCGCTGCTTCATGAAGCAGTTACAGGAGCACTAAGACTAAACATGCACCAAGTTGTGATGACGGTCATTAAACATTTTTTAATTCATAAGCAATAACCATAATTGTACTAATTAACAAGACTGCAGTATCCTTAATACTTAATTATTTGCAAATTAGTTTAATGGCAACCTTTACTCTTGATGAAAGCTGTATGAAAGGAGAAAAGATAATGACAAGTGTAGTTACTCCCAGTGGGGAAAGATACCATTTAGTTTGTAACATTTGTTTTATTTGTATGTGCATACACACAATTGAGGCTTTCATCTCTCCTTTGTCTTGTGTCATTGCTGTGCTGTTGTTTTCACAACTGGATGCCCATAACAAAGTGAAGTTCTTGGGTCATGTAGTGTCAGCAGAGGACTTGGCCTGCCAGGCTCTCTAAGCTGAATTCACCACTTGTGAAATTCATGTGGAGCAGTGGGAGCAGATATTAAAACCTTGGCAAAGCAGCTCTTGACACATCAGAGTTTGACTGCTCTTGATTTTTTTGTCTTTTTTTTTTTAATTCTTTTTAACATATTTCATGTTTGCTTCTAAGGTGAAAATGATTGCAGAAGAGTTTCTGTCATACTCATTGGGTCTGGAGCTAAACTCAGATACTGAACCAGAGGAAAAGGCAGATGAGAATGAGGAAGAAAGTACAGAAAGCCCTAGGGAAGCTGCAGAGGATGTGGCTCAGGTAGGTGATTTTTCCAGTTACATTAACAATGTCCTTTCTGTGTCTTGCAAACTCGGTAGCTCTTGTCAGTTTGCATTTATGACCCTTTGGTAACCACAGGGGCAGTCCCAGGCTCTGGCCTGCATCCAGCAGCTCAGGCTGATTCTCTACAGCCAGACTGAAGCTTTCCCAGCCATGTGAAGGTTGAGTTGCTCTCCAAGAAGAGAGAGCTTCCATTCTCATAGAAGATCCAAAAGATTCCATGAATCTTACTCACTCCACCTTTTCCCTAGGAAGGGATATTTTTAATTAGAGAGCTGGGTTGATGGCTGGCCAGACTGTGTTGATTTTTGCCTGCTTGGAAACGGCTGCAGATTGAACCCCCGTGGTCCATGGACCAGATTTGTTTTTCCATATCGTATGTAAATCACAAGTAACTGGGAGAGGGAGCTGAAAATTAGTCTGGCTGTGTGATTTTCATTAGCTCCTGCCTCTAGGAACCCTGCAGCTCTGGGCTGTCTGGTTCGTGGAGCCCAGGCTGTAACCATGGAAGGGTACTTGGATTTGAATAACTAATATCTCTAAACTTACAAATCACTGGAAAATCTCAGGAAAGCTAAAAACCTTCTGCAGAAACTGACAGCATGAGAACGTGTCTTACAGGTCACAGTAACACCCAGCAAGAGGAAAAGAAACCATTCAAAGTCAGGTGCTGGAAACAAGAGGTCCAAGTCCCAGGCAAACACCGAGGAGGAGGCTGTAGTTAATCCCAGAAAGTCCAGCCATGTGCAGGATGACCCAGCTCCTGATAAACCAAGAACATCAGACCAGCCAGCCAAGGAGACAACCCCTGAGCAGGGAGCTGAAGGGACACAGAAGAATGGAGAGCAGTTTCCCAAGGGGCAAAGCAACAGAAGATCCAGCCAGATGACAGGGGAACAGAAAAGCCAGGAGCAGGACAATGGAGTTGTTACTTTGACTCCAGTGAAGAACTCCAAGCGAAAGGTAGGTCCACCAGCCCCCTGGGGACTGGCTTTTGGCCTCTTGGTGTAGTGGGAGGAGCTGCATTCAGGTTTCATCAGAGCTCTACACAGCTTGGAGCTCACAGATATATTGTGAGTTAAAGTTTTGGTTTGGTTTTTTTTTTTTTTTGTCATTGTTTTAAATCCCTCAGAGGCATCAGGGAAGGAAAGGGACACCCCCAGGAGACAGTGAATCCCCTTCAGGGGATGGATGGACCAGTGCTCCGAGGTGGTGCTCTGAAAGCCTGTGCTTAGAAATGGGACTGGCAAGCCTTGCTCTCAGGTCACACCAATGGCTGCATGGGGAAAGGTGTTTCCCCCTCAGCTCAGGCCAGTGGGGGTCTAAAGGGCTTCTCACATTTCTCTGCAGCAGGATGGGGTTCCCTGCTTGGGTCTACTGGGCACATCCGAACAGTTGTCTGCTGGTTTAGGAGTCTTGAGCATTGCTGGCACCTCAGCCTCTCCTGTGTCCTTCAGTTTAACTCAGATTGCTGTGTTCAGTAGAGGGTTCTGTCAAGGCAATCACAGGCAAACCACTGTCAGGGGAATGAATTGTCTAAATGTGGATGGTTTATTGTAGGAGGATGTCAGTGCAGAGCCATTGCATTTTCTTCAGTGTCACAGTAAAGGCAACAGCCGCGAGGATTTTAAAACGCAGCTCTGGTCCTGTGTCTTCGAGCCAGTGCTAGACTCTGGAGCCAGGAAAGGTGAGCTCTTAAAGAGGTTTGCAGGATTCCCAGAACCACCTGGCTCTGGAATCCCGGCGGACTCCATGCGTTAGACCCCTGCTCCTTCGAGCCGTAGTCTCCGTTGTCAGGAAGAGACTTGCTTACATATTTCTTCTTTGACTTTGAAAACAGGAGGCTGGGAGAGCACCAGGCAGTGATAAGCTGCAGTCTTCGTGTGTTATCCCTGAACCTGGGAACTTCTCACCCATTTTTTTCCTCTTTCAGATCCCATTGTGAGCTCCTCCAGAACCGTGGCAACCTGTGGAGGGGAGTCTGTTTGTCTGATTGATTGTGAGACAGGGACAGTGCTGAAAAAGTATAAGGTGGCTACAGAGGTGGGTTGCAAGTGGGAAGGGTGAGCATTGAATGGGAATGCCATAATCTTATAATACTTACATACATGTATGCATAATATATATTACAAAGAGGTCTGAAAGGTTGTCAGGCATTAGCATGGACAGGTCTTAAATGGATGAAGATACATAATAAATATTTCTTGCTTATCCTTTTAGCCTGGTTTGGGTTTATACTTTTATTAGTTTAAAAGATTAGTGTGCCTCTCCCCTCACACAGGTGTATCTGGCTGCTAAGCCTGCTTGACAGCATAGAGGAATAAACATCCTGTTTCTGTAGTTTGTGTTCTTCTGAGGGTTGTTTTGAGTTTTGGTGCTCCATCTTAAATAGTGGTGGTGTTTCACCCGAGTAGCACTTGTGATAGTTGTCTTATCTCTGAGCTAACAGCCGTCCTGCTGTCCGCTTCACTCTATTCCTGGTTTTTTTCTGTCCCAGGAGTTCTTCAGTGTTGCATGGACAACCCTCACAATGGTGATCAGCGACAGTCGGAAGAAAGCTCACAATATCTTGGCAGCTGCTGGGAGGAGAGGGATTGTCAAACTGATCCATGTGGCAGCCGACTTCTGCTACGGAGAGATAAAGGCTCACAAGAAGCCCATTGCTACTGTCTGCTTCAGCCCAACCCAAGAGACCCACCTCTTCAGTAAGTCCCTGCTTCAGAACCTCTTTAGCTTTAGTAATAATGTGGAAAATTCAAGGCTTCCTTAACAAGGGGAGTTGTCACCAGGGCAAGCAGGGACACACACACAAAAAGCACAGACAGGCGTTAGGGAGGGACCATTGTTAGTCTCCTGTGGCAGCAATTTACAGCAGGACAGATTGTTTCTGCCAGGACCTGGCTCTTCAGCTGAGGTGCAGCAGCTCCTGTTTCCCCCTCAGTGGCTCTCAGGGTGGCTGGCACACACACAGGAGCCACAAACAAGGCCAGCAGTGGATGCGTTCCACAGGGATGAGTAAGAAGAATGACAGGCAGAGCAGGCAGCTGGGGGCAGGCAGTGGCAGGGCTCTCCTCGAGCACAGCAGGGTATTATGAGTTTTGATTTCATTTTTCCCAACGAGCACAACTATGTGCTCAATTGATTTTGAATAAATGACCTTTTTTTTTTTTTTTTTTAATTCTTTGCCTCATCAGAGATTTTTATTCAGGTCCTGATGTCAAAGAGAGCTTTACCACACACAGTGGGGCCCACAGAGGCTGTAGCTTATGGACTGGTAATGAACCATCATATTACAAATTGCAGCTGCATTGTCAGGCTGTACAGTGAGCTGGTACAGAGCCATTCAGGCCACACCTGCGCCCCACAGCACATTGTTTCTCTTGCCTACAATTACCCACATCCTGGAGTGCTTAGAGTGCTACATGAACCATTAAAAGTGGAATTTTTTTAGAACAGGGGATACTTTTCAAGAAGAAGCTCAAGAGTGCCAAAAGCAGAAGCAGAAGAAGGGATAAGGAGGTTGATAGCACATCTATATAATGATATGGACAGCAAGGCTCACCCTAACCCCATATATTGCATAGAAAAAGAGTAATAAAGGGAGAGTCTTTGCATCCCTCTTTGGAGACTGGACACCAACAAACTCTGAGTTTGAGGGGTGTCATCTGATGGGGATCCAGATCACTCTGAGTAATCTATTAGGATTGTTTCTGCTATCAATATCTCAGCATGGCAACATTTCTCACCCTTTACATCAGTGCCTAACTATCCCAATGGAAGCTGCTGTGGATGTGAACACAGTAAGCCAGGGATATGTGGAATAAAGCAGTGTCTGCCTGAGAGTAGAGGTTGCAGCTCATATTTTAACCCCTAAGCAGAAACAAGCTTAGAGGGCCACTAATTAACGACTTTGTGAAGCCACAACTCAGTAATGGACAGCAGGAAAGAAACTTTGTTTTATTTGCCCCTCTTAGAGCACAGGATAAGAACACAAAGTATTGACTGTGCATGCCTGACAGTGTCTGTGGAGTGGTGTGGGGCCAGGAGCCTTGGTGACTGCTGCTGTGCTTTAATGAGCTCTCTGATGCCACAGCCTTAGAGTGTAACAGCCTGTGACTCAGGTAGAATTGCCAGCTTAGCTCGAGAAGAGCCAGATGAGCAGCGGTGTCACTACCTGCTTCTCTTCTGTGTCCCACAGCTGCATCCTATGACAAGCGAATTGCACTCTGGGATATTGGGATTCCAGACTGTGACTACAATTTCAAAGCAAGGTAAAGGTTCAAAAACCAGATGTGGCCAGTCCAGGAGCCTGTAACTACCACGTCGCAGCACCACTTAACTGCTTGTTCTCTTCTGTTTTTTTAGCCAGCTGCTGGTGCTGGAAGCAGCCTCTATTCCCTTACGGATTGCCCTGGTGCCCACCTGCCCGGAGCAGTACCTGCTGGCAGGCTGTGAAGGTGGCTGCTTTGCCTGGAACATAAAACTGGATAAAGGAGAAAAAAGCAGGTGAGAACCGAAAGCTGGGACCACGAATTTGCTTTCCATAACAAGAAGAGGTAGTCCTAGCAAAGGTTTGATTTCTAACTGAGGAGGTTTGAGCAAAAGCAGCATGTCCTACCAAACTTAAAACACCCTCCCCTTCCCATAGTGGCCAGAAAAAATATGAGCATGTGCTAAAGGAGTGTTCAGAGCTTGCAGCTCTGTGCTTGTATTAAAGCTCCAGGCTGCTTGGCAGGAAGGCTGGCAGGAGTGTAATCCAATACCCCAAAACTTAAGGGTGTGTCATCTCAAAGTAGTGTAACAGAGTGTAAATTCTTGGATCGATTTCCAGTCTCCCAGTGAGGCCTTCCCTGCTCCTGGTACGTGAGGTAACCCAGGAAACTGGCACTCTGTGGGAGCTCAGGAAAAAAATTACAAGAAAGAAGCAAGTAAAGTCATGCCCTGCTGGCAAATACTAATCTTGACGCCTGCAAAAAGAAATGAAGTGAAACAGCAATCTCTTAAGCAAATGGGCTTCTGCTTTCAATAAACTCATACTTATAGAAGTGTAAGTTCAAGTGGGAATTCATCTGAGCTTGGCAAGAGACTCACTAACACACAGATTTCCTTCTGGGTTCTGTATCTGGGCGCCCTTCCACTGCTGCCTGTTCAGGACTTGGCTCATTTCACCCTTCCCCCCTGCTCTAGGCCTTTTGAAGCCATATTCCAGTTTCCTGATGATGAAAGCATGACAACGTCTCACAGGGTTGATGGTCTGGCTTTTCTGAATGACGATGTCGTTGGTGAGTGTAAACACAACAGCCCAGTCCCAAAAAAACAGTGGGGCACCTCAGCATGTGCAGGGTGAAGCAAGAACGATGAGCAGAGGGTGACTGCCTCGTTAACTTTGTGAGGGCTACACAGAAGGGAATTTTCTCCCAGAGTCATTTATCTTTCCCAAAAATATGGCCTAGAGCATAAACCCATGCCTGGGCAGGACTGTAAATCAGATGGACCCATCCCCAAGGGCATGCTTGGCCAAGCAGTGCCAGTGTGGAAGGAAGGAGAGCTCCTTTCTGCTTAGGGACTGGTGGCAGCAGTCTTTTCTGCAGGGGAACTGGAGGTTCCACATCAGGGTCTGGGTTTTTCTGAATAGCTTATGCTTGTTCTGCAGTTCAGGAACATAAGCATAGCACTGAAAATCTCTCTGCAGCCTCCAATTGTCCTGAAATGAGGTAAAGCAGGTGGAAACAGTTGTTGTTGGATCAGGTCCCAGGTCTTAAAAGCCGTGTTCTGGATGGGCCACCTTCACCAGAAGCCAGCCTTTGTCTTGAGGCATTTCACTTCCCAGCAGCTTACACAGCCTCTCCTGTCTTTCTTCCCTAGTTTCCAAGAGCTCCAAACCAGGATGCATTTACCTGTGGAGCTGGAGCCGGTCCTTTGACGCCAAGGGGAAGGGATGCCAGCGGACAGTGTCTGCAGTTATCCTGGCTGAGCTGGAGTGGTCCACGACAGACATGTCCTACCTGACGCTCAGCACCTGCCCAGGTAGGCAGCACTGGTCCCCAGGGCAAGGTGTGCTTTGCCCAGGTGTGTGGGGCTCCCCTTTGCGCCATCAGAGGCAGAGGCCTGGATTTCAGAGCCCACCAGAGAAGGTCAGGGCTCCCCCCTGCAAGCACTGCAGTGCAGCTCCAACACTGCGCAGCCTCAGCCCAGCACCAGCTGGGTATAAATAATACAAGTGATAAATAATTGCAGCTGTACCATCTGCCCTGCAAGGGGGTTCAGCCGAGGCTCCATGGTCTTTCTTGTACAGGTTTTCAAAGCACAGAGCTGAGGGCTGGGCCCTGTAGCCTTGGTGGAGCCATTTTGATGCTGAGTGCATCTGAAGCCAGGGGCAGGAATGCCACACACCGGGCAGCTGGCTCTGCAGGCTGGCAAGGAACAGCCAAACCTCATCTGGTCATCACTTTCCAAAACCAGTCTAAAAAAAAGTCAGGAGAAATCCCAAAGTATTTAGCACTACTTTTTCCACGCTAGAGTAAGATAGCTGACTTATCTTTAAATGAATTGAGTTCTTTCAGAGCAACGTAGATCCGTAGTTTTGTGCTGGGAGTTTTGCTGAAATATGGCACCTTCCCTTGGGATCCTACAGCACTGCCTGGAGCTCTGCTTTGCAGCAGAACAGACTCCCAGTTCCACAGTAGTTTTACAGCTTTTTCTTTTGCTCTCACAGCAAAAGGCTACGTGTTCTGTGGTGATGAGAAGGGCAGTGTGTGGATGTACAACCTCTCCAGCTACACCACAGCCTGGGGCTCTCCAAAGGGAAAGCGCTCGGAGCGGAGGATCTCTCCTGCACAGGTAGGTATCAGGTACCCTTTGGGGCCTCCCTTCCACCCCAGGGCAGCTGATCCCAGTCTCCCAAGGAGGTTTATCCCAGAACATGCTTCATGTTTCCACACCTGACACTCACAAGCAATTAAAAGCAGTCTCCAGAGCCGACCATGGCACTCACAGCTGGGACAGGAATCAGGAGCTGCAAAGCAAGTCTGTCAGCTCCTCCATGGTGCAGCTGGGCAGCTCTTCCTAGAAGGGCCCTAAAACTCTGGTGGTTAAGCTGGAAAGCCCCACAACACAAAGAGTGCAGGCACCATGTCCCTGAGGGGCTGAGGGGAGGGAATCCAGAGCAGGGAAGGGCTCACTGCTTTCCTGTGTTCACATCCCCTTTTCCTAGTCGATATCTCCCTGGCCTCTGGAGACAGTTCTCCTTTGGGCAATCACTGTTTCCTTGCATGAAGCCTCTGAAAGGACAATCACACACACACTCAAAGGCTCTCACTCACTGGTCTGGAGCTACACTGGATATAGGTATGAGGGGATTCAATGTTCCATAATTTCTTCACTGAAAGGGTTGTTAAAACATTGGAATGAACTGCCCAGGGAGATGTTGGAGTCCCCATCCCTGGAGGTGCTCAAGGAACAACTGGAAATGGCACTCAGTGCCAGTGCTCTGGTCTGGTTGCCAAGGTGGTGATGGGTTAAAGGTCAGACTCTGTGATCTTGGAGGTCTTTTCCAAGCCAAGTGATTCTATGATTCCAGAAGGTTTTTGGAATTGTATTGCCAACACCTTTTTCCTTCCCGCTCAAGCCGCTCCGCACTAAACCTTGGCCCTTCAGGAGCATCCCAAAGCTTTACCACACACCTCAGAAAGGGGGAAGAGCCTCTGACTCAGCTTCCCCAGAAGAGACCCCGCTGTGCTGAACATCCTCCCCCTCAGACACAGCACCCCCACCGCACTCTGTTCTCCCCACAGATCCTCCAGTGGCCGGAGCTCCACGTGAACGGGGAGCAGCCCCCCGAGATCCTGGTGAACAACGTGGTGTCAGACCCTGCCTTCACCTACCTTGTTGTCCTGACCAGTGTGAACATAACAGCCATCTGGAAGAAGTCATAGTCCCCTGTGCCAGTCTCACCCCCGTGATTTGAACTAGTGCAGTATTAGTGACTGTTACCCATGTGCCCATGAACGTTTTCTAGACCAGCCATGATGTGCAAGATTAAACGAAATAACAAAGGTAAGGGTTTGTTAAACTCATTAAATCATTGTAAACATCCGGTTTCTTTTACTGTAAGTTTTCACAATTTGTGCATTTGTTTTATAGAAATGACACTTAATAAAACAAAATGCCAGTTCACTTGGCAGTGCCTGGAGTTTCTGACAGGAAAAGCAGAGAGTTCATCTGCTGCTGTCACTGAGCAGCTTCTCATGCTGGAATTATACCCACAATAACCTCCCCAACAGCCCAGGACAAATGTCTGCCTTAAGGCTCCAATCAGAAAAGTAAAAAATCACTTTAATGACTTATCTGTCATACCCAACAATACATTTATCCTCTTGGCAAAGTGCCTGACTGGTTTTAAAAAAAAAAACAACAACAAACAAACGAACTCAAAATATCACTGCTGCTGTCAAATACTAAACAGAAGTGGGACAAGGGGGGAAATATTTGCCATGAATGGAGGTTTAAATATATCACCTAACTAAGAGACACATCATTCTGCCTCAGAAGCACAGTGTCCTCCACAGGGGGTGGATTTTACTCGATTCCTTCTTGTTTGTCCTTAATAGCAACCTGTAAAAGCACAAACGAAAACACAAGAGCTGTTACTGAGCTGGAGGAGGTGTTTAAACATCCCTGACTTTTCTGAGATACTCAAGAACCAGCAGTGGAAACCTGTACACCATCCAGAAAACTAACACTGAAATTAAAATCAAAACTTATGTACAAATTTGGTGCCCTGGTGCTTTTCCCCACCACATCAGAGAACACCCTTCCAACCCAAACCATTCTGTGAAGAATGAATTCCAATTGATCCTTCATAGAATCCAATTGATTATTCATAGATTCAGAACCAATTCCAGGTATTCAGAAATAACAGACCTCTTTTTTTTGGACACATAAATAACCATTTCAGAGCAGCCACGAGCTGAGTAACACAACGAGGGTGGCTTGAATTAATTTACAGGCCTAAAACAGCAGCTCTTAAGACACACTACTCACCCCTCTGATTAATTATAAACACTTTTAAGGATAAATAAACTCACCCTGAACCTCTCCTCCAGCAGGGAGAGCTCGCTGATAAGATCCGTGATGGCATTAGTGAAAGCCTCCTGGGGGCTGTAATCGGGGGTGGTCTGCACACGGATGATAATTTTATGCTCCAGAGGGTGAGGGACCTTGTACCCTGCAAACAGCACCTGCGGGTCTTTGAGCAACTGCCTGGAATTGGGGGAAAAAAAGAAAAAAAAAAAAAAAAAAAGCAGGGAAATTCAGGGGGAAAAAAAAATAAAAGCCTCAAAACCAGCCCAAAATTTAGTGCCCGGTTTGGACTTACGACTTGATGATGTTCCCAAGCGTGTGGTCCTCCTTGTTGATGGTGAACAAGCAGGCGTTGGGCACCTTGGTATCCTTGTTGATGGTGATTCTGTGGGGATAAATGGGATAAATAAATGGGATATAGGGGATGTTATCGATCCATGCGGGCCAGGCAACCGCGGGCGACTGGGGGGGAAGGCCCGGGCTCCCCGAACGGGGAGCCCGGGCCTTCCCCCCCAGTCGCCCGCGGTTTGATTAAGGGCTAATTAGGGTGTCCCCTCACTTCTTCTCGCCCTCGAAGAGGAGGAAGGACTCGAAGGCTGGAGGCGCGTTCATCCCGCCGCCGCTCCGCCCTCACTCGCTATGGCGGCCGCGGCTTCACCTTCGCTGACGTCACTTCCGTCCGCTCTCTGCCCTTACCTCCCGGCCGCAACAGCGCCCCCCTGCGGGCGGGAGGACTCGGTGCAGACACCAGCGGAGCCACCGGTGATGCCACCACCAGTAGGGCCACCAGAAATGGCACCGGCAGGGCCATCAGAGATATCACCAGTGGAGGCACCCGTGGTGCCACCACGGCCACCAGTAGGACCACCAGGAATGGCACCAGCAGGGCCATCAAAGATGTCACCAGTGCCGCCACCACAGCCACCATTGGAGTCACCAGTGATGCCACCACTGCCACCACCAGGACCACCACAAATGGCACCAGCAGGGCCATCGGTGATTGCACCAGTGCCACCAGCAGCGTCACCAGTACTGCCATGAGCAGAGACTGCAGGGATGCCACCACCACCAGCAGGGCCACCAGAAACAGCACCAGCAGGACCATCTGAGATGTCACCAGTGCCACCATCAGCAGCACCACCAGTTACACCAGCAGAGCTATGGCCAGCCCCCTGCCCTGTGCCCGTCCCCATGGCCAGCAGGGTGCCACCAGAAGGACAGGACAAGGCTGCAGTGTACAAAATGCCTTTATTTCCACTGCCGTGGTCCCCAAGCCATGGGGACCCCGAATCCCAGCAGGGGGACAGGGGGTCCCTCAAGTCTGCAGCTGCAGAAGGAAGGGGGCTGGGGGCTCGGGGGGCTGTGCCTGGCGGTGACAGCTCTCCAGCTCCCCCAGCACCCTGAAGAGCTGGCTCAGCCCCTCGGGCAGGGGGGCATCTGCGGGAGAGGGGAGCAACAGTGAGACCCCACAACCCCTTTGGGAGACACCCCCAAACCACCACAGCACCCCGTGACCCCTGGGGACATTGCTCAACCAGAGCATCCCCAGCGGGGTCCCCAAAACCCCCCAACCCAACTTACCTTCCCTCCGGGGGCCATTCTGGGCGTCCTCTGGCTCCTGTAGCTCCCAGTACTTTTCCCTGGGGAGAGGGGGATGAGAGGAACGGGCCCTTGGCAGGAGCACAAGGGGATGCAGGGGGGTCCCCAGGGAGAAGTGACTCACCTGAGGGTCCCCCGGAGGCCCTGGAGGTGGTGGAAGAGCCGCTGAGCCTCCACTGTGGGGTCCAGGGGGTCGCTCCAGTCCTGCAGGGTGACGCCGTGCCGTGTACGGTCACACCCCAGCCCTGTGGGGCAGCAGGGTCAGCACGTGGGAGGACACCCCCCAACCTCCCTGCGGGGGTCCCGGGCCCCCTCCCCGTACCTGTCCTGTCCCGCTGGTGGCAGCAGCTCCACTTGTCCCCGCGGAAGACACCGGGGTGGTACGAGCGCAGCACACGGGGGTTGTTCCCGCACACCTTGCGCAGGGCCGACAGCCACTGGTTCAGCTCGTTGACACACTGTGGGGTTGGGGACAGTGAGGGGGACACCCTCTGGGCTGTGACACCCCTCGGGGCACCCCCCGCTGTCCCCCACCTTGCACTGCAGGTAGGCTGTCTCCTGCTGCCCGCCCGTGTCCGTGTAGACCACCTGCATGACGTGGGAGCTCCCAAAGCTCTTCTCCTCCACCTTCTCGGCCGCGAGGATGTCGGACAGGGCGATGGCACCGAGGCGCTGATGGAGGGGACACACACACACAGGGGGTCAGTGCCACCCTGATGCCACATCCCCAGCCCCCAGCACCCCCATACCTCTGCACAGGGGCTTTTGCCAAAGCTGAGGGACTCCCCCGTGAGGCAGAAGTGGAGTTTTTTGCCGGCGGCAGCGCCGAGAAGAGGCCCCTTGCCCCGCGTCTTGTGCACGAAGAGCAGCCCCTCCTTCACCACGGCCATGGGGGGGCCCAGCGGCCACCCCTCGCCCTTCTCCTCGCCCTTCTCCTCCTCTGTGCCCACCAGGCGGGTGATGAAGTCCTTCATGCGGGCGATGCCCTGCTGCAGGGCGGGCAGCAGCGGGGACAGCCACGTCTCCTTGGCCCGCCCGGCCGCCGGCTCCATGTTTCCCACCATCTGGATGGCCTGGAGACACCCGGGGATGGCGGTGTCAGCCCCAGAAGACCCAGCCATCCCGAATGGGAAGCAGCCAGGCACCCCAAAGCCCCTCCCAGGTGCCACCCCTTGTCCCTTGGTGTCCCCACCTTGGCCAGCAGCAGCAGCGTGCGGCTGGTCCGTGCGTCCGCGTGCGTCTCCCGCAGCTGGAACAGCTTGGGGGTCATGACGGCCGGCGAGAAGAAGCGGAGGCAGAGGAAGCTGGTGACGGCCACAAATTTGGCGTGCTGTGACCACCAGGATGGGGGGGAGACATGTGGGGGTCTGTCCCAAAATGGGACATCCCCAGACACCCCGCACAGCACCCAGGGCTGTTGTTTGGGTGCAGCACGGCCCTACTCCCTGTCCCCCTGCGCCCCATCCCCGGGCACTGCCCTCAAGCCCAAGGAGGGACCCCATCAACCAAAGCTGAGGACTGTACCCAGTGAGCCCTGGGGATGCCCCTGTTTGACCCCCCTGCCCCAGCCTGACCTGGTGCTGGGGGAAGCGCTCCCCGACGCGCTGGAAGAGCTGCCGGAAGGCGGCACGGATGACGGGGGGACACGCCGGGGCCGACCTGGCAATGGCGTCCAGCAGCTCGCCCAGGTAGGACTGGAGGTACTGGCGGCCCTGCTCGATCACCTCGCCCTCCGTCTGCACCCGGTGCAGCCCCGAGCACCTGTGGGCACCGTCACTGTCACCCCCTGTCTGGGGACCCCCTGTCCCATCTCCCCAACAGTCCCTTACCCGACGTCTTTGATCTCCACCTTGCCGGGGTCCAGCTCCACGTATTTCTTCTCCTCGAACACACGGGTTATGGTGGGCCCCAGGACAGAGTGCAGGTATGGCATCCCTGTCACCTGCCAGGGGACAGCCCAGGAGACAGTGATGGGCCACAGGTCTGGCACAAGACACCATCAGGGTCACCCAGGGGATTTTCTCCAGCCTCCCAGCCCCAGGGGAAGACACAGCCCCACTAGCACTCCCAATTCTCCCCCTGGGAACTGGGGACATCCCAGAGCCAGGGTGACCTGGGAAGAGTAGGTCTTGGGAAGTTTGGCACCTTGAGGAAGGACTCCATCGACTTTGAGGCCAGGGAGTTGCTCCGAAACAAAGTGTTGGGCTCACCTGCAAAACAGGAGAGGGTCCATGGCCTGGGGGATGGATACAGGTCACCCACCAGGCAGCTTCAACCACGGGGGCATTCCCAGGGGCTGTGCCCTCCAACCCTGGCCATATCCATAAGGGTTATGGGGATTTCCAAACCTCAAACCACCTGCTCCTCCACCAAACTCAGCTCAGGAGTTGCTGGGATGAACCCAGCAGATTCCTACACAGAGAACAGTGTGACAGCTGAACCTCAACCATCACCCAAAAATATTCCCCACACAAGGTCCTGGAGGTTTTGAAGCC